CTATTTTCCATATTCTAGAACATTAACGCTATTTAGCCACCACCACCACCACAACCCTGCCGCGTAAGAGAAATGAATTAAACTAGAAATTGCTGGTTGTAAAATAGAGCTAATTTTAAAGCACGCACCCGTTACCGTAACCCAGATAGCGAATGTGTGTGGATTTTGGTTTTTTTTTTGCATATCCGGCGTACTGTAACGGATTCCTGATTTTCAGCATGCTGCGGAATGCTGTCTACCTCTGCACTGCCAAGAAGAGCACCAACAAATTTGGACACGTTTGAGCAGTGTTCAATTTTGAGGTGAGAGCGAGAGAGATGGAGAGAGAGAGAGTGCGAGAGGGAGTGAGAGAACGATAGGGACACAAAGACCGGTGGAGAGATAGACAGAGAGAGAGATGGATCAAGAGCTATTGAGCTAGAGAGCGAGTGCGAGGCAAAAAAGAGACAGTGTAAGAGAGAGAGAGAGAGAGAGAGAGAGAGAGAGAGAGTGCGAGGCAGAGAGGGACTGTGAGCGAGAGAGAGGAAGGGAGAGGAAGAGAGAGTGAGACGGAGGGCTAAATAGATAGAAAAAGAGAAAGAGCGCTTGAGCAAGAGCTAAAGACCGAGAGAGAGAGCGACGACGAGAAAAATATATAAAACGAGCAAAGTCCTTCCATTTTTCAGGAGAATGTCCTCAACGTGCCCCATTGATGGCGTCGTCTTCTGCGATGCCGCTCCGGATACAAATGTAATAATTTTTTGACTAAAAACTATGACTACGCGACGCTCCTTTAGCCCGAGGGGATGCAAATTCAATTTTTCGACTCAACCGGAGCCGTGGTTAGGACGGTGACGAATGGAGGGACCTCATTGGCAGTAAAGGTAAGTGAAAAAAATCAGTTTAAAGGGACTAGAATACCTGAAAATCGACCCGTGTGTGCGACTGGATTAGCCAACATGCCAAAACACGAGATGCCCGAATTTTTGTAGCCTTCGGGGTCCTGGAGTTGCGGCAAATCCCAAAGCCTTTCCAACTGTATTCAGGCGTGTCGCGTAGCTTTCGGGATCTAGGGGCAGGTGGCGGTCGATTCTAGGACTTCCAGGTCCCTTTAAAAACCTTGGAAACTTTCTAGACCTTATGTAGACGCTTTAAATAGTAACTTCCCCGTGCCTTCCCCTAAAAGCATGATTCAAACAGAGAAGTATAGCCATGCACGTGAGATTGGCACATATGACGGCGTGAAGACCTGTCAGATGCAGACAGATTATTTTGGGGTCTCTCGCACCCACCTGCTCTCCCTCTGTCTCACTCTCTCTCTCTCTCTCTCTCTCTCTCTCTCTCTTCGAACAATTCCGCTTCAATACTCTAGACGTTTCGAAAAAACGATGAATTTCCAGGTCCAATGTACCAATGGCGTGTGGACGGTGCTGACCGGTGGGAATCAAGTTGCAATTTCTACCGTAAGTCTAGTTTTTTTTATAGGGAGAGTGACAGACAGACAGAGATACAGACAGAGAAAGCCGGTCATAAACCCACACCGAAAATATCCGCCGGCAATATCCCCTTTTTTAGGTCTCCTGCGCCCAAACCGGATCCCAGGGAGTCGATGCCGGATATGTGCTCGGATCGGCGATCAGTTGATCGACATTCCGATCCAATATTAATAATTCTGCTCTTAATAATGTTATCTACAGTATCCTACTAATAATCATCTCGAAATCAGGTCTCGAAATAAATGTGAAAAATTGAAATTTTGGTTATCGCAAATTTTTTCGGGATTCATTTTTTGTGCGTCGTCGGTTTTTTTATCGTATTCCGAGGATTACAAAAGTTCACAATTTACAGTGGTACACGTACAATTTATTTCTGATATAAATTAACTCATTTTTGGGCCTGTAACAATTTTATTTCCTCTCCGAATACTCGGACAGCCAGCTGACGAACCCCTGGCGGTCATCAGGGAATGGCATCCACTGAAAGGAAAGGTATATAGAACGAAGGAGAGAGAGAGAGAGAGAGAGAGAGAGAGAGAGAGAGAGTGAGTGAGAGAGATAGAGACATACCATCTGCTGCACAATACGCCGAGGTCGGTCCATGATGTCTGGCTTTTGGAGGGTGACGAGACGGTGACGGGGATTCTGCAAGTAGCATTTCCAAATTGTAGCTTGAAAATGAAGCCGATTTTATGCAATACTTCAGTTTCTAAGCTGGGGAAGCTTTAATATTTTGAGTGGCCGGAACTCACCTCCAAGACACAAGTACAGCCCGCCCCGATACAAGACCAGCGTCCGCCAGACGTCGTGCACTAAAGTTTGCAGTTGATCCTAAAAGTTGCCCGCAAATACCGTACCTCTCCAGATGAAGAAAAGATCTTCGCATTAATTCCCATCAAGAAGCAGAGCAGCAAAATGGGGCATAGGAGACGGGTCATTTTGAGGAGGGGCTGTGGGCGATGAAAACTGGCTTAAATGGGCCTTTAGGAGGAGAGATAGAGAGAGAGAGAGCGAGAGAGAGAAATTTACCAAAAAATTTAAAGCTCTGAGTTATCCTCAAAAATTTCATGGTCTCTTTGACGCCGACTGGAAGAGGTTCGTAGTTAACAAAAAAACCGATTGAAACGAAGCGTTCCTCCACTTTCCCCTAATTGGGTCCCGGCACGCCGCACTTTCAAGCCGACCGGGGAACAAAGAAAATTTTCCCACGCCAAAAAATGCAAACTTCCAAGAACTCCTGATACTTGGAACGCCGAGATTTTTGGTGGAAAGTAATGAGAAGCTCTTAGAAATGAATGAATAGAAAAGACTTGAATGGAGTCTCGGGGGGCTAGCAGAGATCATTTGGGAATGAAGTGGCAGGCTAGCAGAGATCATTTGGGAATGGAAGGGGCAGGCTAGCAGAGATCATTTAGGAATGGAAGGGGCAGGCTAGCAGAGATCATTTGGGAATGTAAGGGGCAGGCTAGCAGAGATCATTTGGGAATGGAAGGGGCAGGCTAGCAGAGATCATTTGGGAATGGAAGGGGCAGGCTAGCAGAGATCATTTGGGAATGTAAGGGGCAGGCTAGCAGAGATCATTTGGGAATGGAAGGGGCAGGCTAGCAGAGATAATTTGGGAATGGAAGGGGCAGGCTAGCCGAGACTATTGGGAGACCGGAATCTGCGACAAGCCTGATATCTCTCTCGCTTCAAGCCCTGCTTAAAAAGAGGGCCCTCGCTCGGGCCACGCCCCCAGATTTGGGCCAGCTTGGCCCAAATCCCGGCTCTAGAAGCGTCTCCATGAAGGGCAAGTGATACCACGAAAACTTTAGAACAGTGACTATGTTTTGAGGAAGGAAGATGACTTGCCAAAATCCGGATTTTCCAAATGACATGGGCTCCTTGCTTTCGTGGTTCTTTTTATCACCCCTACATCCTAGTTTAGAGGTGATTTTGACTGATGTAAGGAGTTCCTCCTGAAAGGGCAGGCTAGCAAATGGCATCTGAGAATCCAAAGTTTTTGTACTTTTCGAATTTCTAAGCCTGCGCCTAAGCCTGAGCGCGAGCCTAAGTCTAGGTCCAAGCCTAAGCCTAAGCCCAAACCGAAGCCTAAGCCTAATACTAAGCCGGAAATAGCTAAAAAACGACAGAAAGTCCCGTTTTAAAAGGCCAAACTCTAATTACATCGCCATCCTAGGTGTTGCAAAACGGCCAGCGGCTTAAGGAAAGGCGCCGATGGCAGAATTTGTTAATTACCCGATCCGCGCCGTGTGCCATTATGCAAAACAACCGGCCGACGCATCCTAATGCGGCTTGAAAATTTGTATTTTCCAGGGTGGGCCTGGGCTCTGCATGTGATACCTTGAGAATTTTTCACCGGAATGGGAATTCTGAAGTGCTTAGGCGCTTCCTGAGAAAAATGGGCAAAAAAGCCGAATCTGCAGAACATCTGCAAAATTGGTAACTGCGTCGCTCTCTCACTCTTTCACTCTCCTTCGCTTTCTTTTTACCGCTGTTTTTATGCAATTCTCTAGTAGCCTCTTCTATAAATACGTCTGCATGAATTCTCAAAGTCGACGCACCTCGACGTTGATCTGTCTATTTGTGGCCGATCGGTCAGTTTCAACACGTAATTCAATTTGCATCTGAAAGAGCACCAAAAATAGTGCCGAAAAAAGTTTGGTACGAAACTTGGGAGGCCCTGTTGTATTTGCTAGGAATTTTTCGAAATGGTCACTTTTCGTCGATTTTTCGAAAATTCGCGTTAGCCAGTCAAGCTTGTCAGAATTTCGCCCTGGACTCGTTCGAACCAGCTTGAAACGCTGATTCCGATGTGCTAACTGGCATAGCTGCAAAATCGAGTTCATGGTTTTTACGATTTTTTGAAGTTTCACCTAGACACCCGTTTAGCCTCCCGATCGGCCGTGCCTTCCAAGGCTGATTGCGCGAGAAATCAACGGTGCGAAATCGTTTTCATCTATGCCTCTGAAAGAGCACCAAAAATAGTGCCGCAAAAAGCTTGGTACGAAACTTGGGAGACTCTGGTGTAGGTGCTAGGATTTTTCGAAGTTCGGCCGCGGGCCGAAGAAAAGTGTAAATTGCTCTAGAAACCCGGGAAATTTTGTGTCTGTCGTTTGTCATTTTAAATGCATTTATGCGCCATATCACACACACGTAATTTGTTCATTTCTCTATACACAGTTGGATACACATACAAACGCACAGGGTAGTAGCAGCTAGCAGTAGTGATGATGTTGCTGGATCGCCGGATGGGTGGATGCATGGCGAGACACAAAATAGATCAAGTTTATCGGTTGGTTGGGGCGGGCAGTTATATGTGAAAAATTGCAAAGAACATAAAAAAAATGGGAAAGAAAGAATGTAAGTGAAATGGGGGGTGGAAATGGAACCCGTAATACAAGACCGCACAGGGGGGAAAAACACAGTCACTCGTGCCGAACGCATGGCGCGGTGCGGCGACGCAGGCGAGCACAAAAGCGTTCACGCGACGACGCGACGGGCAACAACAGCAGCAGCAGTTCATTTGTAGAGAATGTAGCGCTTGAGGGCGGCGGGCAGGCGCAGCTCCTCGACGCAGTGAAGGCGCTCACGGCCGAGCTCTTGGCGGATGACGCGTCGGCAAATGTCCATCAGCAGTCGGGGCTCGGCTGAAAATGCACGATACGATGAGCGGAAATGGTTGAGAGACGGTTTTCAATTTCTTTCTTTTAAATTTTGATTTTCGAACAGCGAAAAAATAGATTTCCCATTCCAAATCATATTTTCCAAAAAAAGCCTATAAGATTCGCCCGGACACCACCACTAGGACCACTAGGCCGGACACCCGTTTCGCAAGTCAAAAGCGCGCAAAAACACCGGCCAAACGGGACGTTGAGCAGCTGGAATTTGGTTGAAAGCGCAATCCAAAGAAAAAAAAACACGATTCCTATTAATCATCATACTATGGCAGCCAAACGAGGGACGAAACGAGAAGCGCACTCTTGGGGGGCGGGTTCAGGGAAGTGGATGATTGGTGAAAACCTTACGAAAATCCTCTGCCCCAAAAAAACACTTCCGGAAAATCAGCTTCTTTTACTAAAAATAAAGCGAAGCACCTGCTATTCAGTTACTAGACCTTTTAGAAAAGCCCCCCCCCCCCCCGATAATGCCAAAGAACCGAAAATTTTTATTATACTTCCTTTTTTACTTCCTTTTTTTACTACCTTTATACTTCCTTTATACTTACTTTTATTATTATTTTTATTACATGCTATCATTTAAGGTTTTGGATATTTTCGCGTCAATTTCAGTCGGGTGACTTTCGAAAATGCGATTTTTTTAGGGGAAATGATTTTCGTCCAATTTTTCGCCAACCATCAGGGGCTCTTATCAAAAACCGTGGGCCACAGATGCCTAAAATCCAAAACGGCCGACGCCTCCAACGGAGGGCCAAAGAGTTTTTGGTCGGGATCCTCGTCAGAAAAGTCGATTAGGGGCCCCATGTCAAGGAATGGGTTCGTCGACTCGGCGCGCGAGCGTATAAATGGGTTCTGAAGGGATAGGGACTTGGAAAGGTGGGGCCTAGGCGGGGGTGGTGGTGGGACCCAGGGGGCATCGGCCGGAAGCCAGGGGTTAAACTGTGGGGCCGGGAGACGATCGGTGGGGAATGTGGCACTGGGGGACAGCCACGAATCGGTCATATTAAAGGAAGAAGCGGAAGCCGGGGCCACTTTTCGGCCCTCGATCAAGTGGTGGTATCGGTGGACGGGCAGGGGGGAGAACAGGGATTTCGAATACTGCTCACGGTCAAGTCCGCCGAGGTACTTCATCGTCACTTCGCAGTGGCCCCACACGGCCGAGACGATCGGGTGCAAGGTTTTGCCCTGGAAATGAAGAGATTAGAAAAAATCTCGAATTTCAAGAAAAATTCATATTCATTTAAATTAATAGACAAGGAGAAACAAATCGTATTTGATAAATTTGAAATTAAATACGATTTAATAAATAAATAAATCCGACAAACCTTGAGATTCCTGAAGGCAACACCGAGATACTGGTTCTCGGTGGCGAACGCCATGTAGCCCTCGTCCATGTCCAGGATGCAGTAGAACTATAAAAAACGAAGAGATATAAAATTTAACAGTCTGTTATAATCAAAATTTAGAATAATTCACGATTTAATCAAATTTAACAAAAATAAAAAAATTGTTTACCTTGTCCGGCACCTGGAACTCCTCGTCTCGCTGTCGGCCGCCCAACCCGACCGGGTAGGCCCACGCGGAGGAGTGCTTGGAGTCGTGGAGGCATTCGTTCCGGGCTGAAAAGCGAAAAATAGAGGTGAAATTTTGAAAATTTTGAAGCCGGTAACTCTAAAAATGTTAAAACATACTCAAATCCCAGCCGTAGCTGTGCTCGTTCGTCCCGATCAGACTGACGTAGCCGACGGCGTGCAGGGAAGCTTCCTGAAAAAAAAAACAAGAGTTTAGAATCGTAAGTCCAAAACGATAAAAGAACTCGAATTTCAGGCACAAGAATTTCGCGAAAAATTGACGAAGCAAAAGAGTAGAAACTTAATTTATAATCTTTAGGAAACGAAAAGGCGGAAAAGAAATTAGGCAGAAACTCCTAAAAAAATTACCTTTGTAGCGACGCCGACGACGGCGTGAGTCCCGCGCTGCCGCTGCGGCCACTCGATCTGCCAGACGTGGAACCCGTGCGAGTAGCCCATCTTGCCGCGGATGCAGTCGGTGCTCTGAGCGACCGGATGGCGGTGGAACGTGAACTTGTCGTCATCCCGGACGAAGATATTGAGAGACCTGGAAATCGTAAGGTAATGGAAGCACAAAAATTGTCAAAATAGCGATTCGACGAGAGAAACACCAGCTTTGGCAGCGTTTTTCAATCCCGACATGTTCAAAGCGTTCAATCAAGCGAACCAAAAACGGACCGATCATCCGCGTTCCACGCGTGCTGCTCCTGGACCCCGGCGTCGGGCGAGTCCATGCCGAGGATGGTGTCGAAACGCTGCGGTCGCAGCATGTCTTCCATGCCAGAGTTCTGAAAAAAGGTGATAAAAAGCGATAAATTGGGTGCAAATTTTTTTTCATTTTTCTAAACCAATTCAAGCGCTTCTCCTTCAAAAAAAGGATAAATTGGTCATAGGATTTTGCTGACGTCTACTAAATTTAGCCTTTTCAAATTTCACTAGAATTCAAAAAAAGGGGATAATTTTGACTATGATTTTCTCAAGGATTTCTGAATGCAGAGCAAATTTCTTACCATGCGCGCTAGAGAATCACAAAATCGATAACTCGGCAGGCCATTTGCGGGGATTGTTTTGTCAAATGATTATTTGTTCGCCCGGCCATAGGGCATTGCGTTGGATAGCGGGGCGACGTGGGGGAGGAGGGCCGGGTGGAGAAATTCCCGGGGTCGTGTGGGCTGTTTGCCGGCCCGGATAAGGTGATCGAATTTTTTGGGGCTGTTATCAGCCAGGTAGGAGAGCTTCATTCCACGCAGCAAACCCCCGGCTCAATGATGCACGCCCGCTCCAGAATTGGCTACAAAGAAAAACGACAAAGCCTCACCGAATAGATGGGATGTGCCTGGGAAAGCGAGGTGCCGGCGCGGATGGCGCGGTTGATCTCGACCTGACGACGCTCCGGCACATTGCTGAATTCGCCGCTGAAAAGAAGGAATTAAAATTCTTGTTTTGCTAACGAATTTTGAGGATAGAATCGTCGATTTTTAGATAGTCACGTTGCTTTAATTAATTGCCAAAATCTAGAAAAGCCAGATTTTTGTAGTACAGAAAACAGACAATAATGCTTTTTCAAATTTTTTTCGACAGCCCGAGATTTTCCTTGGATTGCTATGATTTTCCAAACATCGAGAAAAGCAGAATTTTCCTATTCTGGAAAAGAACAGAAGGGTTTTTCATTTTTTAGATAGTCCCGGATTCTTCTCGGAGAGACGTTAACAATTTTTCAGGGCCCTGTAAAATCAGATTTTTTAGAACCAGACTGACCGACTATGAATCAAAAGTTCTACAAGATTTTTGGTGTATTTTTTCGAAGTCCACAACAGTTCTTTTACCACAAAAATCCCGTCACGCCGGTAAACGATGACCAACCCCCGAGATACGTTTCCCCCACTTCATGTGATCATCCCACCACACCCGTCCGTCCCGCCGCTCCAAATTGTTTAAAACACGCTACACATAAGACTCTGTGCCCCGGGGTCCGGGCCCCCATCGAGCCCTTGAGGGCCCTGCTGCAGCTGAGTTGTGTGCCTGTGTCTGTCTATGTGTATGTGCCCGGAGCACCCCAAAAAAAACCGCCGTGTGCGCTGTGTGTGTGCTGTGTAAATTACAAAATGACACAAGAGCCGACCCAGCCAGGCGACACTGCTCAGCTGCCTGAGCGGGGCGGCACAGCGCCTGAGGCGAGAAGAACCCCGCCAAGGAAAACCACGGCAACAACGCGAGGCAAAAGGTCACCCGCCCCGCTGCCTGTGACTGTAAAGGCGGGTGTAACGCGCCCAAAAATGCGTTAAATGATTTTGGCTGGCAGTGGGTGTAACAAGGCGCGAGTGGTGTGCAGGGAATTTTTACGGTGATGTCACTGTGGTAGAAATTTGTAGACTTTTATATGGACTTTATAGGAATTGTAAAAATAAAGTAAACGCAGCGACTAGAACTTTATATCTACGGGTAAAAATTGTCTTTTTTTAATTGACTTTTCCGAAAAAGCACGAAATTGTTTTTTTTTGCCGTTTCCTTTCGAAAAAAGGAGCGATAAATTAGTATTTTTCTGTTTTCTTTTGAAACAAAAAGCGAAAAGTGGTTGTTTTAGTTTTCTTATGAGATGAAGAAACTAAAATCGATCCAAAAACGCGAAATTCTAAATTTTCCTACAAAGAATTTTCAAGAAATTTTAAACTCAGGGAAAGACTAGATATTTTGCAGATTTCAATTTCTTTCGACAAAATTTTCTATTTTCTGCCCTGACCCCCGTGTCTACTGCACTTCCGCTCAAGTATTTTCCACCCGCACAATAGTCCACGATTCCCGTCAACCCAAATGAAACAGCCAGCGGCCCGGGAAAACAGTCAAATGTTTACGCGCGCTAGTTGACCCCCCCCCCTCCCCCCTCCCCCCCCGGGCGGGATGGCTGTTTTCTCGAACACAGCCCTTCAGAAATCCACGTGGGGGTCAGCGGTGGCGGCCTAGAATCAATAAACAGCGCGGCGTGCGTGGAGTCGAAAAACAGGGCCGCACGGCAAAAAAGGCGGTGGGGTCAACAGAATTGTAACCCGGGGCCAACCTGAGCACTACGTGCTAAAGTGCAACTCCGACAAAAAGATGGGATCTTAGCGTTTAAAGGAGCAGGCAAGGCTGTAAAATCCCCCCAGAAATTTCCCCATAAGTCTAGATAAGTCTCCTCAACTCCAAACAAAAATTTTAAATTTAAACATATCCCCTCTAAAAACCCGAAAACCGCTTGACCCCCAGAAATGCGCGCCCCTCAATCAATACTTGGCAAACAGATTTCGGCCTCTCTCGCCGTGCTGCCTGCTGCTACTGCTGCGTGCCCTTCTACCCCCGAAACTGCCGACCGGCAGACACACGTGAACGACGGATTGGGCAAACTGAAAACGGGCGCGCACCGTCCCCCATCCCTGGCTAAACACAGCCTCCCCAACAGACACACACACGGCATATACACACATAAAATCCGAGATGGAGATGTGGGGGCCCTGGCCGCCCGGAGGAGAACTGAGCAAACCGGGCATCCGTGTGGTCTTTTTCAATATTCTCCCAAGGGTCACCACCACCCGGCGGGAAATTTCCTCAAAATTTTCAGGAGAAAAGATGTCGGCGGTGGCCGGGTTGAGGGTGGGTGTAAAGTTACTAACGGGAATAGGGACCACCGGAAGATAGTATCTCTCCCCTATCTCGCCCCCACCGACAAACTAATGCATTTCCAAAGTGGACACCGGGGAAAATAAAAATGGCGCGGCGAGGGAAACGGTCTGAAATTTTCTCCCCAATTTTTCCCCCCTACTTTCACCACTATCCCGAGAGCCCTAAAATTGAAAACCGCGCCCGCGCGCATCCCATCTGGCCAATCCGCCGGCGCGCCCAAAATTAGGATCGGATGAATGCCAGTTTCGCAGAATGGCCTCTCTCCAGGTTCTCTTAAAAACCCCGGCGCGTTGTCGATTCCTAGACACGAAAATGGTCGCTCCTAGGAAGCGCGCAGCGCGTGTTTTTCAGCGTGAAAAAAGTGGCCCGGGAAAAAGTGAGGGGGGCGCCATGGGATGCATAGAGCCCAGCGCGGGCGCGCAAGGTCGCCAAGAACCAATCGCGAGGATGGGTGGGAATCGGCAGCGAGGAGGAGGAGGAGGAGAACCGAATGTGAATATCGATTATTTCCACTGTTCAAATGGGGATGCCTGAATTCAGACACAGAGAGAGACAGTCAGTCTGTCAGACAAAGGCACAAAGACGCGCGCCCAGTTATTGCACCGGGGCAATGAACAAAGAACGAATGAAGAGGCAGGGCCGTCTGTCTCACCAGGCACACTATTCGACACAAAGAAGCTCACACTCAGACACACAGAAACCCCAGTCTTTCTATCTACCCTTTCTGCCAAAGACAACCCAGAAAAGGGTACTTCTGTCTGTTGTTCGTTTGTCAGCCCGCGTTTTGTGTGAAGCAGCCCCCCCCCCGCCACCCATAAATTGATAAGATCGATAGTGATTTGCGCACGCAAACAATGGACTTTCCCGCCACGGTCAGGGTTCAACTAGGCCAAGAAAACCAGGGAAAAAGACTGATAAGGGCGGACTAATCCCTGCCTATCGGGGTCAATAAGGCGACAAAGAGTGAAAGCGGCTAATAAGGAGGCGGTAAAAAAAGAAAGGGTTGAGTCCAAAGGATCAAAAATAATTACCGATGCTTTCTGGCGACGAGTAGCTGGAATTCACGGACCCGTGACGAAACTGAGGCCTCATCCTCTGAAGACGACGACTCGGACGTGTCGTCGGCATTCGAATATTCGACGATAGGCATTCTTGCGTGCCTTCGCCGAGGTCGGTACTGTAGTCCGCCCGAATGCCGAATCCTCGGAGCGGCCATCGGCCTTGCCGGAGGTGCCGGAGGGGGAGATGGGTCCCGATCGGCCAAAATCGCCAATCTTCTAGCTGGCTGCGGGATGCGCTTCGGGGAAGCGTCCCGATCTTCTCGCCAGGGCAGCGGCCGTCTCCTGAGGCTACGCTGGTTGACGTCAATCGAGCGCACATTCTCCGTGTCCCGATTGTTCTGCTCCTTCGGCTCGTCGGCGGGGCGATTCCCGGACTCCTGCATCGCCATGCGTCGCCGAGCCGTTCGGACGACGCGCGGCCTAATCGGTCGCTGCTGGCGGGGAGGGAGCTCTTGCTCAGCGTCCGCCATCGGGTCTTCTTGTTCTTCGGCAGCAGCAGCAGGGCAGACGTCCTCGTACCGAGTGGCGGTCGGCATCACCGAGGAGCGCCGCGTTGCCGGGCGGGGCTGAGGGAGTGTTTGTGCGGGAGGCGAGGGCAGACTACTCCCCGCTGCCAGAGACGTAGAGGGCTGTGGCGGGATGGAGAGGGCGCAAAGTGAGGAGCGTTGCCCAGAAGTTGGCTGCTCGATTTTTGCGCCGCTCGATTTCGGGGCCACGTTTTCCGTGCCCAGTTTCTGGGGTTTCGGTTTCGAGGCAAGCCGGGCGGATCGCCGAATGGTTTTGGAGATGAGGCCCATTTTGAGTGCGGTTGGTTGGGTTTTGGGGCGAGCCATGTTTGAACTGAAAGCAGCTGGGGGTGTTCAGGGAGGCGAGGACATGAACGATGAAAAAGTGACGCAAAAAAAAGAGAGATGAAAATGAGGCAAAGTGTAGAACTAGAAATACATAAAAAATAAAAGTCGTACGGTTACTACGATTTCTACGTATTTTATATTTGGTAAGAAGGGCATTCTCTCCCCCCGCGATTTTCCTATCGTATGAATCGTACGAATTTCAAGAATTTCCAAGGATGGAGGAACCAGAGGAGCAGGAATTTCGTAAGCTGCGGCCGATACGAAATACGAAATATACGAAAAGCCGGGGCCGGAAGACTGGAATTCGACCGCAGCCCAAAAATCAATAATTCCAACACCGCAAAAGCGTGATTGAAATGCCCGGGACCCAACACGCAGCCGATTTATTCCGCCGCGCCGTTTTCCCACCAAAAATTTCAGCGGGAATCCGGGGCTGCGGAGAGGAGGAGGAGATGGAGATGGTGGTGGTCCATGCGAAGGGATGCAAGGGCAGCCGCTTCGCCACAGCCTAGAGAGCGGAGAAAGGGCGGAGGTGCTAGAGAATCAGGGAAGGGGAGGGCCGTGTGGCCTGGAAAAATGAACGCACGGGGGATCAGACCCGCCTCCCGACCCTACATTCGGTCCCTCCCGGGTTGGGTTGAGTGGCAAAACTCTTTTCGCCGGGGTTCGCGGATTCGCGGTGGGAAAATAGAGAAAAAGGAAAACAAAACAATGGACAGACGGCGATGGATGTGGTGCGTTTTGCTGCCTAGAATTTTGAGGGAAATTCAAAGGCATTGCTGCTCATTAGATTCTACAAAAATTCGGCGCACAATCCAAGCCTAGAGAGCACCAAAAGAATGTTGATCTATCTGAAAATATCTATATTTTTTTTTAAAATAAAAATAATTAAAAAAATACTATCCGAAGTTGCAATTCCACAAAAATTCAACTAATCAAAAACCAGAAAATTTACCGCGTGCTTAATCTAGGAAAAACAAAGCTAAAAGTTGGCGCTTCCGTAAAAATACAAACTAGATTTTTTTATAAATGTTTCGAAAAAAAATTTAAATCCGTTTTGGAACCTATTGAAGAAGTTTTTTTTCGGCTACAAGATCATCTAAAACTTCTAGAGACGCTAACCGGGGCAAAATTTCAATGGACCCCACTTCTGGGATAGAAAATAAACACTTTCGAGCGAAATCGGCGAATAGGGGGCCCAGGCACCGGAGCCCAACTGGCGGGAGAGAACTCGACGCTAAAAATGAACGCGGATCAGCCGACCCTGGGTGTGCCCTGCTGGTATCTCTGAACCCGGGGGTAGAGGGGGGCTGCTGCGAGAGACCCGGCCCGTATCGGGGCAACAGAGATAGCAGCGAAGAGCGCGGGCCGGGACGGTGGCGGGAGAATGGATTGAAGGAGGAGCTGAAGGAGGGCGGGCAGGACGATGAGACCGTGCAAAAGGGATGAGTAGATGAAGATGGAGGGGGGAGTTGCGCAGCAGACCTGGATATTCGCAGATTGAAAAATGAGAGAATCCTGTGGTGGTCGATTGGGGGATGGGGATTGGGATGGGAATATTGACCGGGAGGAGACGGTTGACGAATCTCAAATTGAAGATCATGAGCGATCGCGGAAATGGACAAAAGTTTCGCAACGCGCAAACAAGCGACGGCTACAAGGGAAAACAAGGGGCCGGGTGGGGAATTATCTAATCCAATTAGTGGGCGTGAAATTTGGGGCGACAAAGGGGTACGAGGGGCGCTAAAAATAAGCTAGCAAGGTCGCACTTTCAGCCGAAAACCGAAATCAGAAGCGGAAAAGGGGAAATCGGATATGGGGCGGAAACCGGAATACGATAGCAGATAAAAGATTTAACGAGGCCGGCCCCTGGGCAATACATCTGTCATCTTATCATACAGCAGTAAAGGCGCCATCTTGAAATGCCATCGGCCCTTTACAACAGCATCAATGACGTACCCGTTGACCTGACAAACAGACACCCCGACCCAATTCGGCCCAAAAAAAGCAATATGTCGATCCGGGGATCCTAATCAATCAATCAATAAAAAAACCCGGATTTTCGCACATTGTATCAAAAACAGGTTTTGAGAAAATCAATACCATACCCTATATTGAGATTTTTTTTCGCTTCTTTCGCCTATTAATCACACCGGAAATGGCTAGACGAGCGAATTTCGGCTGCGTAAATTCGTATAATAAATCTCTCAGTGTATTGAAATTTTGTTGGACTGCTAAAACCCCAAAAAAATTCCCGAAATAAAGGTTCGATTTTTAGCTATTCAAAATCTTACAATCCAGGCTACGGTAAGAAAAAAGCAACGTGACTATCCGGGAGATCGACACCTAACAATAAAAAAAGCCGGGTACCTTCGCAGCGGTCGGTTCGTAGCAGCAACAGCAGCAGTAGTCGTGGTTGCCGGCGGCGGCATGACCGCCGTGTCCCCGCCGCGGAGCTGGTGATGGTGGCCGGCCGTCGATGTTGAGGCTCCGTGTTGTGGCACGCCGAGCGATCCCGCGAATCCGGGCAGGTGACGCACGGGCGAAACTGAAAAATTGTGAATATTAGTACGGGCAGCCGGGGGAATTTTCGAATTCCAAGGCCCCGCCGAAGCGCGCTTTCCCCCCGCAAAACTATCCCGGTCCCGGGTTCAGCCCAAATACGTTCGCCCGCGCGTTTGCACAGCTTGAATCGGAGTCAATGGCATGGGGATCGCGAACAATATCGAAGCCCGGGTTGGCGCGATAAAGAAAATTTACGGAAATCAGCGCCAAACTTCAAGCCTTGCGATTTGTTTCCCAATTGTTGTCTAGAAAGATCCTAGGTTCCGGAATGTTAGCGGGGGGAGGGACCAAATTTTCGAAATTTCAAAAATTTTAAAAAATTGTCTAACATTCCAGCAATCAAAAACTAGTTAAAAACACTATGAAAAATACACCAGACATTGATCCTAGACATGCTAAATCTACCCACTATTAATGTACGCCTGTCTTCTCGACACTAAAAGCTCGAAATTACCACTCTGATAAGAGAAATCTGCAGAGAATCGACTTAATTCTCTGTAGTTTTGTCACAACCGTTTTCTTAAAATACACTTTCGACATCCCATCAATTTTCCGTACTATAAAAACTGAAATTGCGCCCCATTCAACACCTCACACTTGATAGTACAACTTCTCTGCGATCCTTTCAAATCCCACGAGCTGCTCAATTCCACCCGAATGCACCCGACCTTCTTCCCCTCATCCTCGCAAATTTCTGCAGCATTTTTGAAGGGCGGAGGGCGTCTCCCTCTTCAGGGTAGATAGGGGGAGGTGGGGGAATAGCTCCTTGCCCAGCAGGCTTCTTCCCCGCACCGACGCGATGAGATTTGGTGCGCTGGCGAGAGATCGTCGAGAAGGAATAGCGGAGAGGGAGCGAGAGAGAGACAAGCCGGTCCTCAGCGCCTCCTGCTCAGCGCACAGGCTAGCCAGCCTCGCCTCGCCCTGGGGGGCAGGGGAGCCGGTTCTCACCCGGTTTTACTGCACCCCCGGCCATGACTGAGCCCTTGATCGCGCGCGTACCTCTGCACTTTTCGCGCGCCGACACGCGGAGCGGATGGGGCGCTTTCGAAAATCGGATAATGCTGGAAAAAGTGGGGCCGATGGTCGTAAAGTGTTGCAAAAAGTCGCGCAGGCTAGAACTCGGAAATAGCTTTTCAAAAAATACAGTTCATTTACATTTCTAAAAATCTCTTTATCCAGCCCGAAAAAAAACAAACAATTTAACAAGCCTCAAAATTCCCCAAAAATTTCTCCAAAATATCTCTATGCAGCCCCTTTAAAATTCCAAAAATATCCGTATCATCTTACGAGGGAACCCCAAAAAGCAGACAGCCCTCCCCGCTCGTCGCCGGAACCGTCAAAATACGTCGAATCACTTGCCCACGCCACAATACTAACAACACGAGGAAGCACGACGCCTGGTGGATACCTTCTAAATCGAGGCTTGACGCAAATCGCCACATCCCAACTAGCGCGTAATAGACCCCGAAATGCCAAGCGGGAGGGGAGGTAGTTGGCGCTTGCGAGTAGGGGGGAGCGCAATTGAGGCCAAGAGGCCCACCCCCCTAATAACACCCAGGTGGCCCGAGGAGAAAAAGCAGAAAAAGAAAAGCAGGGGGTGAGCACGGCGCTAAAATAGCCGGCTCGAGAACAACTCACCACGTAAATGGATTTGCTCCAAAGCATAGGCTTGAGCGGCGGCTAGCGGTGACAATGGCCCGTTCGAGCCGGGGGAATTTGTGACGGCAGAATGGGCCAGGCGGACAATCTCCTCGAATGCAATATTTTCAAGGAGCCGACGGCGTCTCGCCTCGATACAGTCGTCATCGTTGGAATTGGTGGCCCGGCGTTTAGTGCCTAGTTGAGCCGGGATTGGTGGGGCAGGGGTCAGGGTAGAAGAACTAGAGGTAGAGGGAACAGGGGACGAGGTAGCAGCTTCTGGAGCCGGAGAGGTCATGGTGCTTCGACTAGTTGTGGGGGTGGTCATAGAAGCGGCGGGTTTTTGCTTTTTGGTCCGAGTTGGCCGTGGTCCCGGAATCCTTGGGTTGCGCCGAGCATCTCGACGACCCGCCGGAGTCATCAGAAATGGGTGATGGTCGTCAAAAGTGACGTCAAAATTGAATAGAAACTAGAATAAATTAGCCTAAAATGCCGAATCGACGTCGACGGCGGCACGGCTGCTCGACAGCCAAATAGTCAGAATTTGTCAGTTTGAATAAGCACGACAGCTCAGCGCTCTGCAGCGACTTTGAATAACCGAAGAAGGTCAAAATCGAAGCGCTTCCAAAAGAAGCAAGCGGGAAGGGGGGAGCTGCTCGGAGGGGATCCACAGGGGCCGGTGCAGGACGCGACGGGCGGAGGGGGGCGCTACACAGCCGGTTTTCGCTCCGCTCTGGAGGGGGCGGGGGCGGCAAAGGACGCGGAACCCCCACAAGCAGCCCGAGAGGGGCGAAAGATGGCTAGAAGCCTCCCGGGGGGCGAAGAGGCGACCAGGGCGGCGACGGTCACTCTTTTTGGACGTACCCCCACCACACTTCGGGGGCTGTCCGGTGGCGTCTACTGCCAAGTATTGCCCTCCGGGGAAATTTGGATGGGGTGGTGGAAAACACTCGCTCTTGTCCCGCGCGACCATATAACAAACTGATGGTCGTCGTGAGGGGTGTGCGTGCGAATTGGCGGTTTCGCCGGAAAGACAGAATGCGCGGCGAGGGCGGAGTAGTCGATGAAAATAGGCCATTAGATACCAAATTTGTGTTTCTCCTCAATTTTCAATATACTAGTCAGAAGCCGCCACCTTCTAGAGGACAGAAAAGGAAAATCGGTGAATTTCCTGACCGTAGATTTTGCATATGCTGTATGTCTAGTCTAGCAAGCAAGCCTAGCTAGCCTAGTATTACTACCAGTCAGATAAATATCCGCATCCATTCAGAAGTCTAAAGTTTCCTGAATCGAAGAGAAATGTTTATGGATTCTGTAAATTTCACTGCGCGACACGCAACGCATGCGCCGACTCTTCCATTTCCTAATGCGCTACAAACGATACCGAATAGGACCGAATGAGCACTGCGTGTCGTTCCCGCGGCAGAAGCTAGAGGAAAATCCGTACTGACGGAATCCCTAGACAGCCCTTCTCGGCAACCCCCAAAAAACTCCACGCTCTACGGATCTCACTATTCAAATTCTCGACCCGGCCGACCTCACTCGATTTCGACATTTCACTAGCAGCGTCTGGCCCGCGGGATCCCATTGCGGAACCGGCCACTGAAAAGAGACCGGAAACACCTGGAGGGGGAAGGCCGTTGGACAAGCGCCCCGAGGGGGGCGAGGCGTGCAAATAGCGCAGAGGGTGGCTGGGCAGAACGGAGGGCCCAGAGAAACCCGGGGTGCGGATGCGGAACAGGGAAGTGGCCGGGATGAAAGAGGGCACACGCACTGGGCCAACAGTGGCCCCTTTCCCCCTCGGGGCGATCGCCCGAAGAACGGCTGTGCTGCGGGGGTCTAGCACGATCTAGGCGAGGTAGTGGGGAGGAAAATCATCGAAATGGTCTTGCAAAAAAAGGTTTGATTGCGCATAAAAAGGTGGCCGAAGTAATGCTAAGCTGAAACCCGTTTAATTGAGTGACTAGAACTAAAATCCGCGCCTGCCAATAAAAAAATTAGTAGAAAAGGCCCTACAATTATTTAAAAAAGTGAGTTCATCTTAAAATGCGTCAAAATATTGAACTATTCAATCTTCTTCTTCATCTAAATACCCTAAAATGTCCTTAAAAAGTTAAAGACGTAATAAGGAATAACATATTGGTAAACATTTGGCTATTGATTCTCAACGAAGTAAATTGCAATTGAAATCAGCAACATAAAGCTCCAAAAGCCGAAAAATTCGTCGACAAAATCTATAAAAGCAGGCAGGATTCCTTAGAAAGCCGGACTTCTCCTAAAGAGGAGCCTTCAAACCAATAAAAAAAGCTTTAAATCAAGAATTACGGGCTAAACGAGTCGTTTTATTCAGCTTCCGGTCTTAAAATACGAACAATTTCAAAAATGAACGAAGATGAATGAGCGTTAGAAAGGCCAAAAACTCATTCAGCACACTCGACCCATCATTATAAAGAAAGCTTAGAAACCCCTCTATCTCACAGGACGAGCTAGAAAAGCTCCAGAACGCTTGAAGCAGAGCCCAGAAAGCCAAGTAGCTCACCCTGTGAACAGAATACCGGCATGGTACAGAAAAACACCGAGGTGTAGATGGTGGCTTCAGCTGCCCTGGCAGACGGTACGGGGGCCCCTAAGCGAGCGGAGAACTTGGAATTCTCACACGTTGCACTGCCCCTGGGGTCGGCTGGCAGGAGCACCACCTGAGTGGGTGTGCCGGGGGATCGGTTGTGCGGCACCGTTGGGATGTGCGTACAAGGGAACAAAGAGGTATGGCCGGCGAAGACGATCCATGGCAGCGATAGTGTCCCAGCCCCCCTTGTGGATGCCAATAATTTGGTGAAACGCCTCTGTGTGTGAAAAGAAACACAACGATCCCGATGAACCACACGGTGGTAGCCGAGAACACTAGCGGCTGAAGGGGGCGAAAAATGTTGAACCGCCGAACACGCATGCCCAACCGGAGAGGAGCAAGAGGATCAGATCCCGGGGGATAAGTTCGAGGTCGAGGGCCAAGTGACAGGTCGACGACGGTCAGTCGACGATAAATCGGCAAAGCTGTAGGATTTTGAAAAGTTGCTCGGCAGTTTCGAGTCAATGGGCTTATTCTTTCATGAATATCCCATGTGTGCGGCAAAGCTATAAAAGTTGTTAATTTCCTACCAATTTAATTTGTGTTTTAAAAAGCCGTTATCAGGTTCTCTAGGCAAAAAGTGGTCAAATTTTCCTACGACTAATAGCACTCAAAACTAAAACACAAGCAAATTAGAATTCATCAACGCTTCTTTCGCATTATCGGAGGGGGGAGGGCACCAGGGTTTTTATCTTAGAATACAATTTTTCTAATATAAATAGCCTAAGGGTTTCTAAATTTCTTTTTTTTACTACTTCTAAATGTGAAAATTTTACAAACTTGCATGAATCAATATGCAAAAAAAAACTTGATTTGTCGAGCGAAAATGACCGATTTTTGACCGAATGGTCGACTATCCAAAATTTTGCGATCATTTCTCTAGTTGAAAAAAGTTTTATAGTACTAAAAACACGATTAAAACACTTGATTTTAAGTTATCTGAAATTCTTGACTTATACAAAAAAAAGTTCGCCCCCCTGATAATGCAAAGAACCTCATCAACGGCATCAAAATGAAATTTGGGGTGGTGAAAATTCGGCGAAAAAAGGAATCCTAAAAAAACCGGGAAGCCAGAGGCAAACTACACAGTTCAATAGAACAAGTGACCCCTTCAAGTTCAACGACACTCAACCCAAGAAAACTGTAAATACCTGGCCGGCCAGGATTAAGAGTTTTCAACGGGGTAGCGCGTGAAATAGGCGCCGCCGATCGCCACTAGTGGGGAGGAGTCCATGTGCGAAAAAGTGAGATTGGATGCGGGGAAATACGACAAAGGGCAATGGCAGATGGAAAAAGCATCTTCTCAACCCCGCACGGCATGGGATGAAGCTGGGAAAGCGGGCGCGTGCACGATATTATCGCCAGGCTGGAAAAGCATCACCGGATCTGGGGGGCGCGCGTACTTTGGCAGAAATTGCAATCGAAAGGGCATTTTTCGAAACGAAAAGCGGGTGTAAAAGATGCGGAGTGGTTGGCTAGACGGAATCTAAACAAAGAAATGGCACGATAATGCTTCAATGTTCTCATCATCCACGCAAAGAAAAACAAGTTAGAAAAATGTGCACAGGATTTGGATCTTTCGCATTATTGGGGGCGGGGAGGGGGCAAATTTTTTCCTTAGAATCTTCCAAAATACATAGTGGAGTTGTTTCTAAACGTGAAAATATCAAAAATATATATTTTCCGACCCAAAAATTGCCGATTTTTGAACAAACTTTCAACGTTTTCGAATATTTTTTTACAGTTTTAGATAGTTTTTCTAATTTAAATATACATGTATGTATTATTCGAAACAAATTAAAAGAATTCCCAATAAGTTACTAGACATTTCTAGACATCGAAAAAAGTTAGCTCCCCTGAAAATGCGAAAGAACCCAGAATCCCGAATTTTAACTTGTGAAGACTAAAAGAAGCTTCGCGTAGACAGCTTGTGAAAAATAAGTTCTAAAAAATCAATACAAGCCCCCAATTTAATATGACTCCCCGCCAATCAGAGCAACATAACTCCCCATATCAAAAGCTGACGCATTGAAACCGCGGCGCCCCCCGGTTTCTACCCGTCAAATCCATAAAGCAGTCAACACAGCAAAGCCAAACTCCAGCACAAAATTAACCCGGAAAGTCAATGGCAATCAAAAGAGGCGGTCGGCTAGGCGCACAGCGATCTGTTTGCCATCTCAACCCGAATCAATGGCTGCGCTCAGAACTGGGTTCGTCGGCCAGCCATCACTACCCCCTCCCGTTTTCCGCGCCCCTCATCACGAAATGGGTAGGAGAAGTTGGTGAAACTACTGGTAGAGAGATGAGTGGGCTAAAGCGAATTATCGTCACTATGTCGAAAAATACCGACGACCTTGCATAAGAAAACTTTGTTCTTTCGCATTTTCGGGGGGGCGGGTTCAATTCTATAAATGTTCAGTAACCTAATCGACAGAGTTTTAATAGCGTTTTGGTAAAAAACTATATTTAAACGGGAAGAACTATCCAAAAACTTTTAAATATGTTTGAAAAAGCCGAAATCTTGCTAAAAATCGGTAATTTTTGATCGAAAAATTTTTATAGTTTTGAAAGAGACAGAAACGTTCGGATAATTTTTAATAAAAAATTTGTAAAGTCTTCGCGTTTAGGAATAGTAACAAAAAAACGTTTAGCAACGTTTTCACTAGATATAT